ACACGTCAAAAACGGCTGCTTGATTTTCAAGCCCTCTTATGGGAGCTCAACACGGGACATGCTTGAAAACCAAGTTTTTGCGTGAACTCTGGAAAGATATTTAGTTTTTATCAAATGAAATTGTTTCATGTTTTTCCGCGAGCTTCTGACGCTGACCTGCGCCGGGTAGTCGAAGAGCCAGGCCTCGCGCGCCTTCTCCTCGTAGGCGACCACGCCCTCCGCGAAGCAGGTCCGGATCGTGTTGCGCATGGAGGCCTGCACGCGGTTCAGCCACACCTCCACGGGGCCGGTGCAGTCGCAGGGCTTCTCCAGCGGCACGTACTCGCCGTCCTTGGCGTAGATGCCGACGGCGCCCACGGGCTCCTCCTTCTCGTTGAACACAAAGTTGAGCTTGGCCAGCGAGTCGAATAGCTTGGTGAGGTGCCTGTAACACGAGTTCGTTCGTGGTCGGTACAGCTTCCCCAGAGATAGTTCACAATAAATTAAAGTGCAAAACCGATTTTTCTGTTTTTCTTCATTGACAAAAAACAAATGATTTTTTTCCTCTGATTTTTTAAATCCTTTTTTATGTTTTTCTTTTATTTTTATTTTTTGGAGGGTATACACTGATTATTTTTGAGTAAAGTGCCCCTCGAAACGGCCTCTCACCTGGCCACGAGGGCGGGCTGGTTGCCGTTGCTCAGGACGTCGAGCAGGTCGGCGGACGACACGAAGTAGAAGCGCGGGAAGGCGAGGCGCTTGGTCTCGAGGTACTCGGCGAGCGCCTTCTCGCACAGCGTCAGCTCCTTCTGCAGCCAGTCGAGGCGGCCGGGCAGCCCGGGCTTGTTCGTGGCCTCCACCACGTTGGGCGTGCGCGCCAACTCCGTCACCAGCACCTGGACCGAGAGGCTGTGACAGCGCACGGGGCACAAACCACAGAGAGGTGCCCGACCCATATCGAAAAGTCGAAATCGACGACGTTTGCGAAGTATCCTTCCAAGATAGTATCGACGGTCCACTGACCTTGAACTCGGTATCGATCCGGTCGAAACGCTCCGAGTCCTGCGGCAGCTGGCGCCGGATGTCCTCGGAGCTCATGAAGATGCTCTCCAGGTGCATCCACGTGCGCTGCACCTCGAACCACACCGTGATGACCTGGTCCGCGACGCTCAGGCGCTGCTGCCACTCGGACACCTCGTTCAGGAAGTGCGCCACGAACTTGGACGTGATGAGGTTCTGCAGCTGCACCTGGTTGTCCTCCAGGGTCTCGACGAGCTCCTCGGAGGCCCTGAGCAGCGTGGTGCCCGTGCGCTGGTGCACCTCCTGCTCCAGCTCCATGGCGCCCCAGGTGGTGTGCAGGTCGCGCAGGATCTTCTCCATGGACATCTCCTTGACGGCCTTGTCCACGATGTTCTTGACCTCGTCCTCGCACTCGTGCAGGTTGAGCTCGAGCAGGTCGGCCAGGGTGGTTCCCTCGTCCATGACGAAGCGGACCTGCAGGCGGAGCGGTGTGGGCGTTAGGCAAGGAGGACGGGTCCGTCGGATTCGAGAAAGACAAGAGACATCGGCAATCGACATCTTTGCGAGAGAGGAGAGAAAAAAAGGTGCAGAAAAATGGGAAAAGGCCGTAAATAAGTGCAGGAAGACGGAAATTTGTGCCATCAGGTGGGCAGGCAAAGCAAAGGCAAGCGTTGTTACTGACAAGCTCGAAAATTATGCCATAGTTATTTTTTCGGCAACCATGTGATTTAACCCTGTAATTTTCCAACAATTCAGGTTTTGAAAAAACTAGTTCTTTTAAAAAAATATATAATTTAACTCAGCACAACATAGCAATGCACGCAAGCTACGGACGGCTACGGACGGACGAGACACACAACAACAGGACGATAAACAGCTCAGCAAACAGGCAACACAGAGTAGGCAACACGCACGGACAGACAAAGAGGCTTGGCAGCGACGCACACTGTGCGCCATGGTACTCACGCTGTACTTTGGCGGGAGTGACTGTAAACTCTGCACACCGCCAGGCACACGGGAACAAGAGAGAGGCAGAGTGAGATGGAGAGAGGGGCGGGAGGGGAGGGGAGGAGGGGCATGCATGCGAAGTACGTGAAGGTTTTATGTACAATATGTACAGCTTTTAGTGTCATGCGCCCGGCAGACAAACTGGTTTAAAATACTGTTTGGTTTTCATTAGTTTATAGAATATGTACACTAGAGAAAATGGTAAGTAAAGAATAAGAGTAAGTACACTAAAGAAAATTCGTTATAGAAAAATAACTGAAAATTATTTTCTAGGGGAGCAGCATGGAAGTATCATTGTAAACAACATAACAATATGCTGTATCGAAGACTACGCTCGCTGGAAATAAGGATGTTTTACAGATATTTACACGTTTGAAACTGACAAAACATTCAGATCGGGACAGCCTGACCTTTGTCGACCTCATGAGCTGCTGCCAGTGGCGTTCTCTGATGGCGGGGTTCTGCAGCTCCCCCACGGCCCTGAGGGACGTGAGCATGTTCTTGACGGTCGCCTCCAGCGACGTGTACGTGTCCCAGGACCGCATTTCCTTGTCCAGGGCTGTGCAATAAATCGCATTAAATCAGTTGAATTTTTAAAAGGATTGTCATCGCTTGGCCTAAGTTCTAAGTGTTCATGGAGGATGAGCGACACTGACCTCGGATCTCCTTGGCGAACTTCTTGCACTCGATGTCCATGTTCTCGACGTCGATCTTCCTCCACGGCGTGGTCTTCCAGTCCTCGACGCTGGTGCGCACGATGCACACGTAGTCCCACAGCTGCTTGAGCATGCGCAGCTCCTTGCGGCACTGGCGCAGCAGCTTGAACTCCGGGATGGACACCTCGAACAGCGACCCGGAGTCCTGGATGCGGCGCATCTCCGCCTCGTACTCGGCCATGCGCTCGTTGGCGGCGTCCAGCTGGCCGTAGGGGTCGTCGCACTCGTACCGGAAGTAGGGCGCGCGCCGGAACTGGTCGCGGTACTGCGTCTGCTGCGAGTCGAACGCCATGATCCGGCGCCGGATGGCGGCCACCTCGTTGGCCTGCAGCGGCGCCACCAGCTGCTTCACGGTCTGCGCGATCTTCTTGGTGTTCTCCCACTGCTCGGGCAGCTCCTTGAGCAGCACGTTCACCTCCTCGGGCAGCTCCTGGTCGTAGCCCTGCAGCAGCGCGATGGTGTCCCGCAGCGGCTCGAACATGTCGTCCGTGGACTCGGCGCGCGTCTTGACGTGCATCAGGAAGCCCATGACGGACACGAGGCGGTCGTAGTCGCCCTCCTCGACGGGCTGCAGCAGGCCCTCGTCCGCCTTCTGGATGAAGTTGCCCAGGTCGGCCAGGCTCAGCGTCACGTTGTTGATGAGGTGCTGCTTGAACATGTCCCCCCACTTGCACACCGTGTTGACGAGCGCCTGCTTGAACGGCGCCAGGTCGACTTGGAACCACGAGCTGAACGTCTTGACGGAGACCAGCCCCTCCACCTCCGTGAGCAGCGACTCGAAGTTGTCGATCTGGAACGGGATAGCGCAATGACAGAAACTACTCCAAAACAACTCCTTCTGCTGTAATCTGTTCCGCAAACGAAAATTAGGCTAGACCGACCTGCTCCCTGAAGTGGTCCATCCTAGGCGGTGAGGGCTGAGGGGCGAGCGGGTCCTGGATGGCGATGTACTCCAGCTCCTCGTTCGTCAGCTGCCGGCTGTAGGTGAGGAAGTTCTCCAGGTACGTCCGCCGCTCGTCCAGCCACAGGTACGAGTAGCCCCGCAGGCCCACCACAAACTCGTTGGCCTCCCGAATCACGGCCTCCACGCCGTCCATCGTGTCCTTGATCATGTCCTTGATGTCCTCGTTGGCGATTATCTCCGCCTGCAAGAGCGATGAGGCGGATGACACCGAGCGCACGGAGCGAGCGCCAACTCCACAGCTTCCCCACACCCACCTCGTAGGTGATGTTCTTGTCGCCGACGCGCGGGACGATCGCGGCCATGGCCAGGATGTCGGCGATCAGCCCCTTGACGAGGCTGGCGAAGCCGTCCGGGCTGTGGTCCAGGGCGGGCACGAACACGATGTCCGGCTCGCGGAGGTGCAGGTGCGCCTCGAACAGCGGCGACAGCTTCTCCTGCGCGTCCATGTTCTCGGCCAGGTAGGCGAGGGAGCAGCCCACGGCCTTGAGCACGGCCTGGCCCACCAGGCCGTCGAGGAACTCGATGTAGCTCTGCCAGCGCGCGGAGCCCTGCTCGTCCTCCATGCCCAGGAGGGCCATGTTGTCGGCCACGAGGCGCGCGATCTCCTCACCGGCGGCCTTCATCTCGGCGTAGCGGCGCGTCTTGCGCTCCTGCCGCTCCTCGAGGCTGAGCAGGGCGTCCTTGGCCGGCCGCTGGAACACGGGGCGGGCCGCGGGGCAGAGCGCGCCCCGGAGCAGGTTCACGTTGGCCTGCGAGGTGGCCACGCGGCTCTGCAGCGAGTGCACGAGCGCGTGCAGCCGCTCGATGTAGGCCCACAGCTCGCTCGAGCTCCACGTCAGCTCGCCGTTGTGCAGGCCGCGGCTGACCTGTGAGTCCACCTCCTCCACCAGCTCGCGCACCAGCTCGAACTCCACCGGCAGCGTGCAACGGCGGACCTTGTTGTACCTGAAGCCGCGAAAATGTGAGGAAGACGAAACTCGTCGCCCGCCCGGCGCACCCTAGCCTCCACTCACCACTCAATCGTCACGCTGAGGCTGTTGGTGTACTTCCGGAAGGTCTCGCCCTTCTCGTACAGCTGGCTCGCCGCTTCCGGTATCTCCTCCCGGCCCATCTGCTGCAGGTAGTGCGTCTCGCGCAGGATGGCCGCGAGCTGAACCCGGACATCCGTTTAGAACCACGCATGACACACAGGTGCGCACACTGTGGTGCAAGTTTACAGAACGGCGCATCGATATTCGAACCTGATGGTGGAAGTTGAGCGTAAGCTCGTGCGTCTTCTCGTTCTTGCAGAGCAGCGACCGCGCCAGGTTCCGCTCGCACTGCGCCGGCACCTCTGCCGCCCAGGCGCCCACCATGGCCTTCTCCAGCTTCTCCATGCCCTCCAGGATGCGCTCGCTGTGCTCGATGATGTCCATCGCCTCCTGGCTCTTCGCCACTCTGTCGGGGAAGCCGTTGGGTAAGACTGGGAGCAGAGACACTATGGCGCCAGGGTCGTTCGCTCTACTCACGGGTGGTCGAGCGCCTTGAAGCTCTGCATGGGGGCGACGAGCCTCTGGCGCACCATGTTGCACCACCGGAGCGCCCCGGCCACGGGCGGCATGTGCGTGTCGACGGGCATGTAGCCGCGGGCGTGCTCCTCCATCTGCTCCTCGTATATCCGCTGAGGAAAAGCATGGACAATGTTACAAACAAAATTACACCAAATGAATTTCGTACTATAAAGAAAAATAAATAGAAACACTTTTTCGACATTTTTATATTTTTTGTGTTTATTGTGGTAGACCTGGATGTCGTCGACCTCGCGGCGCAGCATCACGATGATGTCCTTGTACTTGGCGGTGAACTCCTCCTTGATGAGCGGCCGGTCCAGGACGGAGCCCGCGATGTAGATGAGCTGTCGGGCACCGGGACGTGAGCACCTTTCCGTCGGAGCCGCACCTCTCACCCGCCTCACTACACTCACCTTGAAGACGGCCTCCAGGTTGTAGCATTCGTCAAAGCCCTGGCACAGGATGGCGGCAAGCCTCCGGTCCAGGTCCCAGATGCGGTTCTGGAAGACGTTGTAGTCCTGGAGGAAGGTGGTGTCCTCGGGGTCGAGCACGTCGTAGCTCTTGCTGGCGAACATGGTGAAGTGCTCGTTGAACTCCTGGGAGACGGCCGTGATCTTGGTGCTGAGCACGCGCCCCTTGAGACCGCCCAGCTCCAGCTTCTCCAGCTTGAGGAACTCGAGCACCGTGTCGAAGAACCACTGGATGGTGTGCAGCCGCTCGACGAACAGCTGCAGCCGGCCGAACACGATGTTGGGGTGGAACGTCCACAGCACGGGCTCGCGGTCCTTGAAGAAGCTCGCGATGTTCTCGCGGTACTCGTCGAAGTACTGGCGGAACACCTTGAGCGTGGCGATGGACAGCTGCACCCGCTGCTTGGCCTCGTCCACGTCGCTCTGGAAGATGCTGGACGGGTCCAGGTAGCGCTTGGCCTGCTGGATGAGCAGGTTGCAGATCTGGCGCAGCAGCACGACCAGACGGTTCGAGTTGCAGTAGTAGCGCGAGTGCGCCCATACGAGGCACACGGTGTGGAGCAGCGGCCGCAGCAGCGGCGTGGCGTCCGCGAAGTCCGTGTCCTCCAGCAGCTGGCAGTGCTTCATGAGGGGCTTGAGGTAGAGCGCCATGTCGCGCGCCTCGGCCAGCGCTGCGGACAAGGGCGGCGATCATGAGAGAAGGGAGAGCTTCAGAAACTCGATCTCCTACCAAACCTACCCGCCACGATGTTCCTGAAGAGCGACTTGAAGCACGGCCAGTACGCGCTGTCCGTGCGCTCCAGGATGACGGCCATCTTGCGCACGCGCTCGTCGCGCAGCTGCTCGTAGATGTGCTCCAGGTTGCGGAGGCGCGAGTTCCAGAAGTGCACCTCGGCGGAGGGCGTCGGGTTGTGGCCGCCCTTGAAGGCGTCCGCCGAGTCCTCGAGCAGCACGTCGTTGATCTGCGTGGCCCACTTGATGACGACGCCCTCGATGGCCGACTTGAGGTACAGGTCGACCACCTCGCCGCCGCTGCTCATGAGCTCGCGCTCGGCCTGGTGGACGCGCTCCACGCCCGCGGGCAGCGGCAGCACGGTGCGGCCCGCCACCTGGCCGCGCACCTGGCAGACGGTGCTGCGCAGGCTGTGCACGTGCCGGCACACGTCCTGCGCCACGGCCGCCGGCCACCCGGCCTGGTTACCCGGGTTGGACAGCAGCGGCACCACGACCTATGCACCGCCACAAGCACGAGCGACCCGGACGAAAACATTTTGTCAGTAAAATAAAAAAAATCTTGAAAAAAAATGTCGATTTTGAAAATTTTAAAAACTTTTTCCATAATTCTTTTGAAAACGAAATATGACAGCGAACAATTTTACTTCGTTTATAAATTGACATTGCTCCACCCTACCACGGGGCGTCCTCCTTTCGCCACCCTCGTCGTCACCCACCTCGTCCACCAGGGCGGCCAGCTGCTCGATGGCGCGGGTGGCCATGTCCCCGATGATGAGCAGCTCGTGCATGGCCTCCCGCTCCTTGGGCACGACGGCGCGCCGCTTCTTGACGAAGAAGGCCGCCTTGCTCTTGAGGCTGACGGGGAAGCCCAGCGAGGGCAGCAGCTGCGCCGCGTTGTTCTAAGGGGCAAGCGAGGCCGGGGCAGCGCTAGGGTCATTTCAACGGTTTTCATATTTTTTATGACATTGTTTCAGGGTTTTTTAAACTACGAATTCAATGGAATATTGCGATGGAATTATTGCACCCCCCGACCTGCATGACGATGAGCAGCATGTTCTCCGCCTTGTCCAGGAAGTCGAGGACGCACTTGCGCATCTCCTCCGTGGCGAGCAGGCGCGTCCATTTCTCCGCCTTGAGCTTGAGGGTCTTCTGGACGAAGTTGCCGAGCACCGGCAGCCGCGGGTCGGGCGGGGCGTGCTCGACCTGGCGACAATAACAACGCCGGTCAGGCGGTCAGTGTGCCAAACGACGGCTACACGGGACAACCCCGTGCTCTTATCTACGGCACTCACGGCCGGCGCCGGCTCTCCGGGCGGCACCACGCCGCCGACCCTCGTCATCGCGCACCTCCCGGGGCGCTACTCGCCGCGGACTGAGCCGGAATGGACTCGGCCCTCGCGCGAGGTGCAAAGGTGCCCCCCGAAACGTGTATCGGACTCGTCATGTTGTCTGTCAGCTGTCCGAGGCGTTGGCGCCAATCCGAAGGGCGGAGCGGGGCACCGGAGGCGCCAGCATGGCAGTGCAGTCCCGGGGAGCGTTACTTTTATCTATTTTCTCTCAGTCGGCTGAACGGAGAATCCGGCAAGGGGGCGCCTGGGGGGTAGGTCACCCGGTACATCGGAGTGTGCAGGGTTGCCTACCCCAGGTCTGGCGGGCGCGCTGCGCTCTGGCTCGCACACCTCAAACAGAGCGGGCTAGTGAGTGCGGGCCGAGATATTCCTCATTTTGGCGTCATTATACTGACGTCAGTTTGACGTGAATCACGTGTTGCCTTTTGGTGGTCCTTTCGGTTCGGTAGGCGATACAATAGTAAGCCCCCTGAACAGTTTTGACCGGCCTGTCTGCTTCGAGAACAGCTGGCTGTGCTGTCAGGGGCGGGGGGAGGGGTCCGGGTAGGG